TCTCGGTCTCGATACACTCTGGTCTTGGTCTTGTCTTGGTCTCGGGTTAGGTGGTCTTGAACACAACACTGATTGGCGCTAATGGCCTTTATTTGAGAGTGGTTAGACAGGAAAGTATGTAATGAGAGGGCGGGGGGGGAAGACATGCGGAAAAGGTCACCAGGCTGAAACTTTGACGTCTTCATTGATTACTATATCAGTTGCCTCTATATGTGGGTTATGTTTTGCCCCTTTGCCACCACAGCAGCCCAGACCTTCTTTAAACTTTTGACTCCACATGTCCAACTGTTTGGCGTTTCAGTACTTTTTACACAGCTTGATGTTATAACAAGGAGCTTTAACAGCAATATTCACCAACAGGTGTCTCATCCACGAATTGACCAACGCATTTCCCGGTTCAATCAGAATTGGTATAAAAGTCATCGTCCTGATCATGTTGTTCTGATTTTGATATTATGTGACCAAGAGAACACCTAATAACTGATGAAGAACTGCCATCGTGAGGTTTCAAACAGAATGTTTTTAGAGCGTCACAGAGTGTTATCAGCAGGCTGAAACCGAGATACAGAGAGACCGGAGGAGTCAGAGAAACTCATAGAAGGTGTCGTCCTTTGGCCACGTCCAACTCTGATGACCACTTCACTGTGATGAGAGTCACCCGAGTGTCAAGCCGTAGAAAACCAGTTACATCTTCATGATCTGAGTGGTAGATGACCTGTGATTGTTTCTGACCACACCACCAGCTATCTACGTCAGTCTTTCCACCAAAGGGTGGAACGTTTACGATAAACAAGGGAGGGGCTGGTGGATTTCAGGGCTGTTGTCTGGTAAAAGTCGGTTCACACTGAGTGGAAATGATGGCCGCCAATGATGTTGGGAGACTTCAAGGAAAGCACTATGCGTCAGCCAGTGTTGTCACCCGATGAGTCGTTGGTGGTGGTGTTACAATCTGGGCTGGTGTGTTTAGTCCAGTGTTTCCCAACCTTGGTGCTCAAGGCACAAAGCCCTGCATGTTTTCGATGTCTCTCTGCTCTAACATACCTGAGTCACATGATTGTGGTTCAGTAACAGGCTGTTAATCATAAATGAACTGAAACACTGTGGACACTGTGGCTTGAGGAATAGGGTGGGCCTAGTGAATATAGAACTGGTCTAAACTTTGTGAGTGGTATAATGTCCAGCCTGTAATATCTGAATAACTCCATTAATTCAGTTGTTGTACTTCTGAATAAACAACACAGGCCTAATATCATCCTTGTGGACAACAGTATCCCAGCTCTTTGAGGTCGCATCATTAGGGAATGTTTGCTGGAGAGTGCGGTACTCCGGATGGAGTGATCTGAACTCTCTCCAGACCTGAATCCCTTAGAAAATCCCTCAGCTGCTTCACCATGTACTGTAGAGGGTTTGCACCAGAGAACCTCTAAGACCTGAACGCCGACCTTCAAGAAGAGTAGGACGCCATGCCTCGGCAGATCAAAAGTTGACTTTTGAAAAGCATGAAACAGAGTCGTGAAGTTGGTATTGATTCTCAAGGCCAATGGAGACATTGGGGATTTTTATGTTTTCCATAAATTTCACTCAAATGCCAAATATTCCTAACTTTTTGTTCACAGTTTATGTTTCACACAGGAACATTGGTGGCCCAATCCCTCCTACCTCTTTTTGCTTTTGTAAATAACAGCAAATGTCTGAGTTAATGTGCAAAGATGCCAATTATTTAGGATTTAAAGTTTTTTTTTTTTTTTTTTTTATAATATGAGCATAAACCACTTCAATGGTTTTGAGATTAGAGTTGTTGTTTTTTTATGGTATTTGTCTTGTGCCTTCTTAGACTAATCGTTCGCTTCTTGAACCTCACTTGGAACATTTAAAACTTTCAAGTTGATGAACACACTGCACTTCCTTTTGTTTCAACTCACCCAGAATATCAGCCACACCCAACGATTAGCATGGATAAGAAACACAATTTCTTTTTTTATGTACTAAGGAAGCAACATGATGCAGAATGAAGATTTATATATAATAAGATGTGATCACTTTGCTTTGGGGACAAACAGCTTTATCCAATTTCTGGTTGCTAAGTTACCGTGAGTGAATTATATATTTGGAAAATGTTCTGAATTGCCTACGCACAATACTCACAGAAAGTTAGGAAAATCTGGCCTTATGGTAAAATTACAGGATGACTCTAAACGGTAATGTAACATTTTACAGACCAGCTTAATGTGACGTTCTTTAAATTTTTTAATGTTTGTGTCTAACTGTTCATTGTTTCACTACATTTTGGACACCTTGCTGCTGCTTCAGTACATTATTTGAGAATCGACATAGCATGCTTCCACTTTAATGCCTCACTATAATTGAATGTTATCATTGTAGTGAGGATAAATTTGCATAAACGTCACCCGAAAGCCAAATATCCATAATTTTTTGGGAGTAGTGTCTTTTATTGATAATGCACACCTCTTAATAATTATTCGTCTTAATTTTTTGGGCACACATGTTTCTTAAAGTCCCATCAGAACCTTCCTCCACCCTCCAGAGTGTCAGAACCTCCACCTATGAGTCTTCAGCATCTCCCAACACAGAGCAAAGCACTCTGGGTAAGAACAATGAAATGCAATCAGAAAAACCACAACAAAGGTCAAGCTGGCACATCAATTCCCTAAAGGCTCTAAGAAATAACATGAGCACTACTGAAGAAAAGAAAGAAAGTCGTTTGAAGTCTGAGTGTGGCGGTCTGTGGCAAACTTAGCTTATCTAAATAGCTAAGTTTCAGTTAATTTTTTAGATGTTTCTAAATGGAATATGTCTGGGATTTTATCATTAGCTGCGAGGAACAGAGAACAAAAGTTGGTCTCAAAACCAAGATTGAAGCTTACACAACATGTACCTTTTGCAATATTTCTTTAAAGCAAAAACATAAAAAAGACATAGTCACACAGTGACAAACACTAATTATGAAACTGAGCTTCTAATGACAGAGGACTGAATAATTTCTCAATAGTTAGACTTTAATCTAAAAGAGGTTTTGATTGCTTGACATATTCACATAGCACCTCTTTGGATTTCAGCCGTTAAAATTATCATTTCCTTTTAACTGCAAAATGTGTTTTTAACAGCCAAGCAGCTGAAGTTGAACATGAAAGAAATGTGACAAGAAGGTCGTCTGTGTTTTTTTTCTATGTCTGTGACGTCATATGTGAACAGAAAAAGGTGCTGAATGACTCATGAACCACTGGAACACAACAAAACAATCCGTTATCTCTGAAAAGAGTTTTCGTCTGGTTTTACCTGGCTAAACAGTGTTGATGTGTTAAAAAGGCTTTTTGGTGTCTGTACTTTTTTTTTACACAAACAGCAATGGATGATCAGCATACAGTGAAATTTAGTACTTAGTGTTTATCCTGCTGTCGTCATTGGTTCTGCTGGTTTGTTTAGCTGATTTTCCATGACATTTGTTTGACCTGATAAGCTGTGAAGTTGATGGATGAAGTGTTTTTTTATTATTGCTTTTCATGTGGTCTAGATATAACAGCTCAGGCCCCGAATTGGCCAAACCAGAATTTGTCTGCACAATGAAAAAAAAAAAAAAAAAAAGTCTCAAATTTTCTGCAACATATTCAAAGAGGAATGTTTTTCAAATGCAACATTTGTTTTTGTACTTATATAGAAAAAACAAATGTTTGAGAACTCTTCTAGAACTGAATTGTTTTTTAATGTAGTTCTAGAAACTGAAAGTTGTGTCCAGTCTGTGATTAATGATGATCTGATCACCAGATGGTTGCTGTTGCTGTACAACGTGGCACAAGCAATGTTCTGGTGGGACAATTATTTTTTCACTGGCCTGGTTCTTTTGGATCGATTTTCACTTTTAATAAAAGGAAAATCACTTTGTTTTTGCAGCATTTACTCAGGTTAAATTGATCTGACATCAAAATTAGTCCGATGATCTGAATCTTAAAAAAATAAAAATAAAAAGTGAAACACCCAAATTCTTTAAGAGGGCAGACACTTTTTTTAAAACGCCAATTTTCCATACTGTGTCAGGTTTTTATATGTTGCAATAATATGTGGAACAAATGAGTGAAGATGTTTTTATTAAAATGTACTTTAAGAATAAATAAGCAAAAGGCTGATGACAGAAATAAGTATAGGAGATAAACAGATATAACAGCTAAAAACAGCAGCAACTGATGCTATCTTGTTTTCCTGTTTGCAGGACCTTCCTCCACCCTGCAGAGTGTCAGTACCTCCACCTCTGGGCCTTCAAAATCTACCAACACGGAACAAAGCGCTCTGGGTAAGAACAGTGAAATGCAAAAGAAAAAGAAAGAAAGTCATTTGAAGTCTGAGTGTCTGTGGTCTGAAGCAAACTTAGCTTATCTATAAAGCTAAGTTTTAGATGTTTCTAAATGAATATCTCTGGGATTTTATCATCAGCTGCAAGGAACAGAGAAAAAAAGTTGGTGTCAAAACCAAGATTAAAGCTTACAGCTAAACAGCGCGTACCTTTTGTAACGTTTCTTTAAAGTAAAAAAAAAAAATTAATAAAAAATAAGACAGACAAAGTAGTCACACAGTGACTAAAAATAATTATGAAACTTGCATTTGAAATAAATTGGTTAATGAATTTAAGTCTTGCGTTTCTCTGTTGCTAAGGCAAATTGGGAAGTATTTAGGTAAATAAAATGGTTGCTTGGTTGTATTATATACATATCATGTTGAATCACTGGATATATTTAGCCATCTATTGATAGCACATGTGTTGCAAATAAAATAAAATGCAAACGATAGTGAGTTGCAGAAGGAGCTGTTGTAAGGTCGACCCTCTTCATAACTCCTATTCAGAGATGGAAGGAATTGAAAACAACAACAAAGAACTGGTCAAATCAGCAAATGAAACCTAAAATTCAAACATTCAAAGATTGTAACATAATTCTATGCATGTATATAAATCTACTGGTGATTCCTGGTGGTGCAACTTTTAACAACCCTCTTTTAGCCAATCGGACAATAGAGGGCTCTCTGGACGTTCCTCTCTCTGTAATCTCCCTGTGTCGTCCAGACTCCTCTGTAATGCTTTCCTCTGTTCAGCTCACATCGAAGGTTTTCTATCAGATTAATGTCTGAAGAATGACAGAGCCATGGAAGTAGATACATTTTGTGTCTGGTCATGTTTTGGATCAATAGCCTGCTGACGGATCCAATGATGAGCTCCAGATTGAACTTTGACAGGTTTGTCATGGGAGTTTTAGAAAAGACAACAGGCCCACAGCGACGCGGATCACTTGCTGTGATAAACAATACGCATGTGTTCTTCCAACACACTTTGTTTTTGTTTTAAACCAAACCCGCATGGAGTGTTTGTCGTTGAAAAGTTTTCTCCCGTCACGGGGCTTCACCACTTGTGGCCAATCCTCGCCACAAATGCTGACCTTTTAAAGAACCTGTTTTAAGTTTGTCTGAGGGAATTTTCCAGGACACAGAGTCAAGCTGTGTCCTGGAAGAATGTAAGTCGCTTTTGATACACTCCTGATCTGAACAGTGTAATTATGCTGGGATTAAGGATGTGAAAAAAAGGATGTGTCCAAAAAAAAATCTTGGTTTGTATTTAAATGATATACTGCATGTTACAGTGTTAAGTACTCTTCAAGGCGATCCTGGAATTCTATTTTCCTGCAGCAGCAAATCTAGTTTGCTGTTGAAATGAAAGGCGGGTCCACAACAGTGTCTTCTGACCAAAATATACAGTTCACCAGAGGCACCAATAAATCGAGCCCGGTCTGTAAAAATCGGCACAAAACGACAATGTAGTCTTTGAGTGCACACTTTTTGAACTGCACTGCAGAATCCATTCCATAATTAGCAGATTTGTAATTTTACAGGATAATGTCTCATGGGAAGGGATTGATGCTAGAGAAATAGTTTTAGTTTATTGTGTTTTCATTTCCCCGTTAGGAGGAGGAGGCACAGCAGTTTGCATCAGTTTCAGTTTAATTGGACTGATTCTATTCCTCGCCGTGGGCAGTGTCATCTTCTTATATCGACAGTAAGTTGGTCAATAGAACTTTCTCGTCCTTCTCCGATAAAGTTTTAATGCTTGTACTCACCAAAAAAAAACTCATTTCTGATCTTATATCTTAGGAGGAAGAACTCGATTCCCCCAAGAGATCTACAGGAACTGGAAATTATGAAATGCTGACTGTGATCTAGAACGTTTGTCAGAGGAAGTGCAGGGTGGAAGGAAGTGATGATGAGTAACTTGTACTTAATATAAATGTACCCACTGTCATGCCATCATCTGGTATAAGAAATGTGGTTTTGAAGACTAGTTTGGAATTTGCCATCTTGTTTTGTTGTTTGCTTTCTTATGACTAACTTGGACAAAATGAATTTTCTGGATCAGTTTCATGTATTTTTCATGCAGTATTACAATGCATGACAATTATGTTTTCATTGATTAATCTGCAGTTACAGTGTGCATGAAATTAGATTTCAGTACAAACACAGGCAGCTTCCCCTTCAGCATTATGCTGCCATCGCCTTTTTTTTTAACCATTAGCAAATAGAAAAACATTCACCAGAGTCTGATGACAGACTCTAATATGGAAAAATACAGAAGACGACAACAGCCTTTTTGTAAAACGACAATTTTTTTTTGCGTTGACATTTTGCCTGACTTGTGCATTTTACTGTGGATGGATGGATGAATGGAATTTAAAAAAAATGTTTTAAATTATTTAACCATTAAAAAGTAAGCACTTTTTTCATGAATGTAACTTTGCCTTAAAGATTTTAAGTGTGTATTCTGTATGGGAAGTTGAGAATTCTTGTGCGCCCCCTGCTGGTTTGGAGCAGCCGTTCTGTTTATTTATGTCTTGTCTGTGCCCAAAAAACGGTGCTACGTCACTTTTTTAAAATCTTATTTGATACTGTTTTGATTTCTAGATTTGTTATTGACCTAAATCCTAGTAGCTGAGTAAAATAAATTGAGCAAGTACTCCTCTGTTAGCATATCTTAACTGGGATCTTCTGTTTATATTATGCTGATTGTTGCTTGTTTTAGAATTTGACCACTGATAAAAAAGAACAATCTAGACAAATCACTACTGCAGAATTGCACGCCGATCTCCAACCTCCCATTCATCAGCAAA